ACCTCCTCCCTTCAGGGGGTGCTCATAAGCAGGCAGGTGAGCGGGGGGCATTCCCCCTTGAGGGGGTCTTCCTGAGAGTTGCATCTTCCAGAATTTGATCATCGCAGGGAAACTTTCAGTAGAGTTAGGAACAAAAATGCAATAGCCACTTGACCAGTATCACCCAGGCAGAAGTCATGGGGCACCTGAAAGAGAGCTCAGCCCGGCACCATTGCCAGCAGGAAGTGACCTGCAGCTGCCCAGAGCCTACCAGGAGGGTGAAAGAAGCTGATCTAGACACAACAGAACTTGACCGTGTCTACTTTTGGGGCTTACACAACAAAGCCTTGAAGGAGCAGCCTTTCTGTTGTGGCCTTTTGTTACCCGCACACACGTCTGTATGGGTGTATACGTGGCCAAAAGAGAAGTTGCGCAAAACACTTCCTACATGTGGTGTCTTATGATTTTTTTTAAATTGATCTTTGCCTCCAAAAAGTGGATATCACAGCCTAATAAGTTGACTTCACAATCCAGTAGTGGGTCGCCGTAGCTGAAAAACACTGTTCTGATGTATAATTTATTACGGTAGCATTGGGGGTTCTTTCCAAATGAACATAATATCACATCTTACGGTATTATTTCTATCTTTAATGATAAATCATCTGCTGATTGTGGAGAGTTATTGACGTGGAGTGGTGTAGGCATTTGGGGGAATCTTAATGGCCAGTATGCTGTTCCAGGTTAAAGCATCACTAAGAGTGGTTGCTGAAGTGTGTCTGTAGGCGCTGCCCCAGGGACTTCCTGCCAGTTACCCGGGGACTCTGTGCTTGTCCCTGTTACTGTGGTCTGAATTTCCCTCTCTTCCCTGTCACTCCTTGGAGCTTGACTTGCCCTTTGGGAATGGCTCCTGCCACATTAAACTTCACCTCCACCTCCTACATTTTCTCCACCTCTTTTGCTTTCTTAGGCATCCCTTCACTGCCCTGCTTCTCTCTGTCCCTTCCAGTTGGTTCCTTAACATGAGCTAAATGGTTGTGGACTCACCACACACCATCACTGGGATGCTCGGCCCAATGGCAGCTTGTAAAAGCAGGGCGTAGGAAGAACAGACAAACCAAGTATGGACAAAGAAGTTAGTTACCCTTCGGTAATGGAAGACTCTGTACGACCCAAGATGCAGCGTCTGTGCCAGGCACTTTCCCGGAATGCCGGCCAAGTCCATTCCTGGCTTTAGCAATAGTGCTGGTACTTAAAAGAGGATATCCCTAATGCCTTGTTTTCTGAACTTATTTCAGACATGAGGCTAATAATACTTAACCGTGTATATAGATGCTTTGGGTGTTATGACAGTGGTAAAGCACCTCACCTCACATCTAGAATGTAAGACATTTCATAACCTGTGATCTTTGTTCTTACTTGTCTTCGTATTCTGTTGCTACATAATAAATTACTACAGACTTAGCAGATTGAAAGTATGTTCAGTAAAACCCTGGATTGTGAGTAACTCATCCTGTGGCTGTTCTGCAAGAGGAGCAAGCATTCCTAACAAATTTTAACTTGATAAGGAGTGATGTCTTGCAATACGAGCTGTACCCAAGTCCAAAAATCACATGATCACAACTGAGCCCATGGTTCTTGAAATTCGCTTTGATATGCAAGTGCTTTGGATTACAGGCATGTTTCCGGAATGAATTATGTTCACAAACCAAGGTTTTACTGTATATTTATCATTTCATAATTCTTAGAGATCACAAGTCTGGGCACAGCCTCGATGAGTCCTTTGCTCTGGGTCTCACAAAGCTGAAATCAGGAAGTTGGCTGGGTTGTGTCCTCATCTGTAGCTTGGGGTTCTCCTGCAAGTTCATGCAGGTTGTTGGCAGAGTTCAGTCCCCTGCGGTTGTCGGACTGAGGTCCCAGTTTCCTCGTCAGCTGGTTGGTGGTGGCAGTCAGCCGCTGGAGACCAGCCTCAGTCTGAGCCACGTGGCCCTCTGACAGCACTGCAGCTACTTAAAGCTAGCGGGAGAGTCTTATATAATAAATGACCTTATATGATATTCTGTAATCATGGGCGTGGCCATCTCATCATATTCCTAGGACCTTCTACACTCCAGGGGAGGGGGTCTTGCAGACCACATACACTAAGGGGTGGGAATCTTGGGGCCATCTTTGAAACCTGCCCATCACGTGATCACATTTATCATGAATCTGACGTAACTGCTGAGGATTCTCTTTACAGATTCGTGATAGAAAAGAGTTTCATCTCTTTTCATTTATAATTAAGTGTTTGAACTGCACCTACCCTAAAGGCAAGAATTCCTTTTTCTCCCTTGAATACCCCCCCTTTCCTCCATACAAATGTATGCACCCTGCACCCCCCCCCAAGCACATACATACTGGTTACCCAGGACCACGGAGATTCTCGGGGAGGAGGGTACCAGGGCATCGCTGTGGACACTGCAGTGCATCACATTAGCAGAGGGTGCTGTTTGGGCCGTGCTGGTCCTTGCGGGTACAGCCCTGGCCCCGATTCCCTGCCCGCCCCTCCCCCCCCAGCCCCCTGGACCGGGCATTGCATCTCCTCTCACGCTCTGCGCTTCACCACTCTTCTCCACAACGCGGCCACAGTGCGGTGTAGCTGCGACTAGAGGGGCAGCCGGTCCAGCCGCTCTGGAACCACGCTCGCCCACCGCCCAGGCCCTTGTGCTGGCCCAAGTCACTGTCAGGCTGCATTTCTGCGTGGCCTCTGCTCAGATGTCACCTTCTCAGTGAGTCATCCCTGAATTCCCTGTTAAAGCTTGTGTCATCTATTCCCCCTCCCTGCTCTCGGCCTGTCAGCTCTTTATTTTTCACCATAGTGGGACTTACTGTCATCACATGGCTCATTTTTAAAAGATTTATTGCTTGCCTCCCTTTTGTAGAAAGAAAGCTCCTCCTTGGCAGGGACTTCTGTCTGGCTTTCTGCTGCCCCACCCCCTACCCCTCCCAGGGTCCAGTGAGGAGCCAAGCTCCTTAGTAGCACCTTGGTGGCTTTTTAATGGATGCTTAGATTACAAGAACCAGCAGATTTTTTTAAATTTATTTTCTAATCTAAGTGTAATATACAGTGTTACATTAGCTTCAGGTGTACAGTAGAATGACTCAGCAATCCTGTCCATTACCCTGTGCCCATCAGAGTAGATGCACTCTTAATCTCCTTCGCCTGTTTCACCCTGCCTCATCTACCTCCCCTCTGGCAACCACCAGTTTATTGTTTGTATTTCAGAGTCTTTGGTTTTGTTTGCCTCTTTTCTTCCCTTGTTTGACCAGCGGCATTTTGAGGCACACACTTTAGTCTTCTGCTGTGTGTTGATTGATTAAGGCAAGTGAAACAGATCACCTTATGTCACCGATTGACGGAAGTATCTTAGGGAAATCGTAACAAGTTCTACCTAGTATGTGGAAGTCCGTGTTTGTGGATTGTGGGAGGACTGGATGTGGAAACATCTGTATCATATGGTGTATGTGGTCTTGGTGGTGGTGGAGACTGGGCAGGAGTCTCTCAGATAAGTATGTCCTTGAAGTGATAGATTTAGCAGCAGTTGGGTGCTGGGTATTTAAAAAGATAGATGCGATGGGGCTCCTGGGGGGCTCACTCGGGTAAGTGTCCGACTCTTGGGTTGGGCTCAGGTCATGGTCTCTCGGTTCATGAGTTTGAGCCCTGCATCGGGCTCTGGGCTGATGGCATGGAGCCTGCTTGGAATTCTCTGTCTCCTTCTCTCTCTTCCCCTTCCCTGCTCGCAGTGTCTGTCTCTCTCTCAAAAATAAATAAATAAACATTTAAAAAATATTAATAATAAAATAAAAATATGCAAGCCCTGGGAGCCAACCAAGGAGAAACAGCAGAGGAACTCGAGTCTGCTGAGTTTTACTATAACTCCCGACTTGGCCATCTTAATGCATCTTCACTGATATTTCCCAGGGAGCTATTTTCTACACATTTATTCATAAAGCAAGCCAATTTTACTGGAATTATCTACAGATTCAGTGTCTAAGATCCTAGATCAAAGTGTGTATTTCTCTTAGCTCTTTTTTAAAAAAAGAAAGCCGGCAGGGACCTAGATCACAGCTATATTACCATTTAACAATATTAAGGAACAGTCCGCCTTCTCCCTTTTCCCCACTGCCCGCCGCGTGGACTCAAGTCACTCCGGTGAAAGTGTGTCTGTAATACCAAGGTGCAGAGCCAAGGGGTTTCAGCGTTCATAGTAGTCTCTCTTTTCCAAAAAAAGGGAGGGGGGCAGGAATCTTAAAGACAGCTAAGGTGACTCCTTGGAGCCTGCACTGAGTCCGAAGGGCCTTGACTGGGCAGCTCTCCTAGGGGAGGAATGGCCCCTGAGCCCCAACCACCCGCGCAGGGCCCCAAGCCTCAGGCCCCATGGAGGGAGGGGGAATGAGACAAGGACAGTCCTGTCTGCGGGGTGTGTAGGTTGCAGCACTACAGGGTCCTGCCCTTCTGCGCCTTTCACTGGGGAACTGCAGAAGCTCAGTTATGGGGAAATCGAGGCTCGCAGAGGTTGAGGAGCTTGCCTGAGTCCCACAGCCATTAAGCGGCAGGACCAGAACAGAACCAGCTCATGTGTCTGACTTCATAACCTCTGCTCTGAGCCCCAGGGGACTTGCCAGTGCCGTGCGCCCAGCTTTGGACCCTCATCAGGGATGGAGCATGGGCCAGGGTCTGTTGTTGAGCCTCCTGCCCATTGCAGTGCTGACGGAGCTCACACTGGCCTGGGTTCGCCGGCCCCGCCAGCAGGGGACCGTTGGGATTCAGCGTCTGGAACACGGTACTCCGAGCTGCACCGCCCTCCGGCCGGAGCCATCTCGGCCCTGTCTGTCTGGGCCGCCAGACAGCGCTCAGCTCTGGTTCATGAAATGCAGCGGTGGCATTTCTGTCCTTAGCACCAGAATCGGCCTGGACCTCGTGAGCTGTCCGGCCTTCCTTCTGACCCGGGACACTGACCAGCCTCTGCGCTTCTGTCCTACAGATGCCGCCCTTACGAGGACTGCTGTGGCTCCAGGTGCTGCGTGCGGGCCCTCTCCATCCAGAGGCTGTGGTACTTCTGGTAGGTCGCAACTGTTCCTGGTCTCGAATGCCTTCCTTGCCCCCCCCCCGCCCCGCCAGGGCTCTGCCACCCTCAGTGTTGTCAGTCACCGTCACCTGAGGTCTTGGTCTCGGACACAGCCTCGGTCAAGGAAACAGGTACGTTCGGGTTGGCTCACTGCGTTTGTGGGAGGCTCGCTCCTGTTCCCACAGGCTGAGCCTGGGAAGGTGGGCTGGAAGGCCGTTGATCTCCGGCGGCGGCTGCTCCACTTTCTGAGATGGAGCTGAGGGTGATCTTTGGAAAGAGAGTTGGCAGATCTTGCGATCAAGTCTGTGCTGCCTGGAAGTCATCTCCATTCGTTCTGTCCGCTGAATAGTCACTTTCAGGACAGACAGCCTTGTCCATCTTCCAGCTCTCCTGAGGGAAGGCCGTAAAATTCTACCTTGAGAGGGGATGAGGGAGTGGCGTTGACAGAACATCCTAGAAGGAGAAAGGTGCAGTTTCCATCAACAATGGGATGGCCCAGTGGATCGCCTTCTTCAGAGGATGACTGCTAGGGGTGTGTCTGACAGTGTGTGTGAGTCTATAGTTGAGAGACGCTGCTTCCAATCTCAGGGACTGCGGGCGTGAGTGGGAGAGGATGTGCCTAAAACCAAAAGAGCACTTCCTGCGCCCACACGCCCTCTCGTCTGCTCCACTGCAGTGGTAGGTCATCCAGGCAAACTCCACAGAGGGTTAAGACTCAGGCTTCTCTGTGACTTTTAGATTCTGACGTTCCTGACTTCCGAAGACTTTCTGACTTTTACTAAGCATGTTACAGCAGCCACTTGAAACTTTTTTATGGGGTTTTGTCTTTCCCTTCCGACAGCTGTTCCCAGTGTTTGATTAGGGGAAGCGCCAATAGGTGGGATTCCACTTGTCCCGTTGTCTTCGTAGGAGAGCCTGCCTCCATACCCCCATCACCACCGCCTAGATGGGGCACTGGCTATCTGGGGACTCACCTGTCCTATCGGGCCCTGGCCTGGCCCCCTCTTAGGGCTGGCTTGGATCCCCTGTCTTGATGTCACCACTTCTAGGAAGAGCCCTCCTGAGCCAAGCGCCATGTTGGTGCCTAAAACCCTAAAACAGAAGGTGAATTTTTTTTTTCAGTCCAAGATTTTTCTAAATGTAAATATCTCTGGGTCCACTTGAAGTGGGGCGGGCCAGCCAAAGCAGGGCCAGGAAGACCAGGATGGGTGGTATTTCAGAGCCCAGCTTCATGCATGCTTTCCCTCAGAACTTTCCTCCATGGGGCCTTGTGGGAGAAGGAGACAGGACTGGCTGGGGCAGGAGTCCTGACATGGTTAGGAAGTTATGCCAGGTTAGCCTGAAGCACCAGACGTTCCTAAAAATGAAATGTTCCTAAAAATGAGGAAGATCTTGTCAAGGTTTAGGTATTAGGAGATTCTTAAACCAATTCAGCATGTAGGAGAAACGCGAGGGCCTAGAAGCTACAGCATCTTCTGTTGGCTTTCCCAGGAAATTTCGCCTGAGCCGGCAGCCAGGTGCCTTTGAGCGACCGGCCAGGGCCACTTGTCAGAGTTGGGATGCATAGATAAGTCAGCACGCAGTGAGTTAGCGGGATCCCTGCACAGAGACATCGCGTGGGTGCCGTCAGCCCGGGTGCCAGATGCGAGAGGGGGAGATTCTGACAGCACGTTCCAAAGTGGGGGTATAGCCAGAGGACAGCTGGAGGTGTGAGTCCAAGGCACCCCAGCTGAAGTCAGAGGATGCTTGGGTCCGGCTCTCGGGAAACATCAAGTGTCTCCTCACACCGGGCCCCATGGAGAGGCTCTTAGGGTCACCAGGCCCCTAACAGAGACAGATGCCTGCATAGTAATTATGCGTGGAGAGTTTTAAACCCGTGTTCTGGAAACACAGGATAGAGCCTCTGATGCCAGAAAAGTTGGGAAAAGCAGCGAAGCTTCTGGCTGGGTCTCAGAGAGGGTGCGCCGTTCAAAGGCACCAGCATGTTGATGGGACAGGGAGGTGAGAGGGACCAGCGTGGTGAGAAAGGGACAGGAAAGTCATGTGGGGGGGGGCAGTGTTGGGGGGCCCGTCGGGACTGCGGATATGGAGCTGGGCGTGGAGTCAAGGAAGGGCTGCTCTCCTTCCCTCTCTTGGTCCCAGCTCGTTTTTAAGAACCTCTGTCTCCTTACCATAAGAACAAAGGTTTTGGAGGAGATGCTTTCAAAAGTCCCCCCAGTTCTAAAATCTTGAGTGATCTTTAACCAACACAGTCTGAATGAAATCCTTCAGGTTAGAAAAACTAGACCAGTAGCACCCTTGTGTAGAGTTGGAAAGCACACCGCGAAGGAGGTAAAACCGGCAGGGTTAGCATGTGCGTGAGCCCCGCTGCCGGGGTCCCTCCCCCGGAGGTCTGGGTGCACCTGGGTCCGCATCGTGGCTCCCCCGGAGGTCTGGGTGCACCTGGGTCCGCATCGTGGCTCCCCCGGAGGTCTGGGTGCACTGGGTCCGCATCGTGGCTCCCCCGGAGGTCTGGGTGCACTGGGTCCGCATCGTGGCTCCCCCGGAGGTCTGGGTGCACCTGGGTCCGCATCGTGGCTCCCCCGGAGGTCTGGGTGCACCTGGGTCCGCATCGTGGCTCCCCCGGAGGTCTGGGTGCACCTGGGTCCGCATCGTGGCTCCCCTGCTGCCCAGGACGTGTGTTCAGGGAGGGAGCTGCTGCACCCAGTACTGGGGGAGGGCAGGAAGGGATCGAAACAACACACATTGAACTGAAGAAACCAGATTACTTCGGATCGTAGAAAAGGCACGAACTTCCTCTCTTAATCACTGGAAAGCTCCCAAAACCTGCTCTGCAATTAAAGGGAGCAGCATCTAGAGCACAATCAACCTTTAGTGCTTCAAAGGACGGCTTTTCTTACTCTACCCCTCCCTTCCCCCTTCCTCTCTTCCCTTGTTCTACAAGCTCATTTTCCTGCCTCGTCAGTTTCTCCCTGAAGGTCTCTCAGACTAGTGTTTCCATGAGGAATGAACCTGATGAGGATTGATACCTAAGCTGGCAGTCAGTCTCCTACCTTGTGACTTGTTCTGTCCCCGCCTGGTACTTACTAGGTCTCTATCAGGTGCAATGTCATTCACAGGCTAGGAGAAGAAAAAATCCTTTCGATAGTGGAACGGATACCTTAGCCTACCGCATGGAAGAGATCCCTATCTCAGATGTCCTGCGCCTTTTCCAGAAACAGGGAGCCTGGGCTCCTGGGAGCGAGTGGTAGCGCTGTTTGAAAAGTGCTATAAACCCTGTATGTAAACCCTTGCGCACAGTCAGCCTCTCTGTGCTCAGATATGTACAGTTGGACCCACTGTTGAATGTAAGATTACCTTTGAGTCCACCCCAGGGAAATTCGCTTTAAGAGCCAGAACAGTTCTCTCGAGGCTCCAGCATCTCAGTGCTGAGATGCCAGACCCCTCACAGCCTGGAGTCTTTAGTTTGCCAAGACAGCAGCGTCCTCGGGCTCTCCCCCGTCTGTGGCCCACAGCCATCCTCCGGGGGCCTCCTGTGACCCGGCTCCCCGCTGGCGCACCTGCACTGTTCTTTCCACCCAGCACGTGCCTTCCCTCCCCTTCTCCTGGCCTCTTTCTTTCCATCCCTTTCCAGAACTAAGCTCAGATACTGCTTTGAAGGAAGTTTTTTGGATCGCCTCGCTAGAACACGTACCCTTGTTTAAAACCTCATGTTGCACTGAGTTGTACACGTAAAAATGGTGAAAATGGTCACTTTTACATTATGTATGTTTTCTTATATACGTATGCACATAGGTGTGCGCGTGCGCGCGCGCGCACACACACACACACACACACACACTTACGACAGCACCTTCAATTTTCTTTCTTCCCACTTACCAGAGTTGTAAATCAGTGATTTTGTAAATCTGTTGTTTGCTGTCCCTCCTCTATCAGAACTCAGGTTTAGTGGGTGGGGAGGGACTTTACCTTACTCTCCATAATGCACAACATGGTGCTGGGGCCAGAGCAGGCGCTTAAACATCGTTGAATGAATGATGAATTAGAAGACAGGTCCAAAACCACAATTTCAGCCCTATCTCGAATCATTTCCTGACCGACTGATGGACTTACACTTAACATCCTATTAGTCTTCTTTATGGTAGACTTTATCACCTACTTTTTTCTTACATTTCATTTATGTAAGTGGTCAGATGCCTTTGACCGTGATGCAGCTGGCTCTGCTGCTCCTTCATCCTTCACAAGGCAGTAGGCTGCCCACGCAGTTTGGGTAAATTAGGTGAGGTTCTGGAAGGTTCCACAAGTCCCATCATACTGTCAGTTCAGAGATAGTCAAGAGTTTCTCAGCCATGTCTGTGCAGGACAGATAACTTGGCCCTTCTCAGAATGACTTCCCCCATTTCTAGAAATAAAGGGTAGGGTGCAAGTGTGAGCTGGAAGAAGCCATTTATCCATTTTTTAGTCATTTATTGAATGCCAGTGATGTGAGAATCTCAGAATTTTCAGACGAGTTAGACAAAGGTTCTGTCCTTAAGCAGTCAGCTCTACTGTTTGTTAGACTTGAAGGTCACGATAGGAGGTCGGCCATACTTAGCACGTAGAGATTTTATATCTGTGGCTCTCTTATCGGGTATGAGTACTTTCTCCTTTAGTTTTTCTGTAATTAAGGTGTGCCCTAGGAAGGTCACCATGTAAAATTTCTTTCTGAATATTCATGTAATAATGGAGAGAGAATGGCTATAAAGGACAAATGTGCTTATCCGTGTTGCTTTCCCTGTGAAGAACAGAAAATGCGGGACATGGACAGCGGGGCAAAAGCTGGATTGGCCATGGTGTTCAAGCAAGATCGAGAAGGTCCTGTTTTGACTAAAATTAATTGAGTTGAGGTCAGAGCCAAGGACAAGAAAGAGACTGCACCAACCCTTTGAAGGCAGCTAAGCATGTGGAGCTATTTGAGACAGAAAACTCACTTAGAGAGTTTCTCAGTGTGAGAGGGCTGCATTCAGGGCTGTCCCAAAGTCTGCAGGCCAGCGGTCGCCCTGGTGTCACCCACCCAAGAATGTCCTGGGGGAAAAGTCAGGGGAAGGCCAGCCTGAGGGGCCGGGTATGAGCCCCACCCTCTGACCCCAGCACGTGGGAGCCGCTGCTCATGGATTTCGGAGTCTGTGGGCCTTTGAGCCTAGGCCATCCCTGGGCAGCCACTGTGTGCCCCGAACCCCGCCTCACCCTGTGCCCTGAGCCCTGCCTCACCCCTGTGCCCTGAGCCCCCTCTCTCCTGTGTCCTGAGCCCCCCCTCACCCCTGTGCCCTGAGCCCCTCCTCACCCCATACCCTGAGACCCCCCTCACCCCTGTGCTCTTGCTCAGGTTCCTCTTGATGATGGGTGTGCTCTTCTGCTGTGGAGCCGGCTTCTTCATCCGGAGGCGCATGTACCCCCCACCGCTGATTGAGGAGCCCGCGTTCAACGTGTCCTACACCAGGCAGCCCCCCAACGCCACCCCAGGTCAGCCCACCCCCATCCTGGTCTCTGCTCTGTGTGCCTTATGTCTCCTCCGCAAGCATTTGAAAAGCTCACTGCTATGGAACATGCTAGAATCCAGTCAGGCCGTGTTTATCCAGTTAGTTCTTATGGTCAACCTCACTGTGCATTTGTGTTGAGAAAAAGTGCAGCGTCTATTGGGCTGCATGTCTGTTACCTCGTATTCTTACTCAATTAGAGGTGCACATTTTATGCATGTCTCTGCAGTTTCTGTAACCATATCGTTTGCTCTCTGTCTTTGCCCTTAAAAATTCCTTCACGTATACATTTCTGTGTACGAGCAGTAGTGTCCCTGCCATTCATAGTGCCTCGGGGCTAAATATTAATTATGTTGCTAAATGGTGATTTGCTTAGATAGTCTGTCATTGCCGATCCTCTGTTTTCTCTTGTTTTGCTTTTTATTCATTCATTCAATAAGTATTGACTATGCGTTTACTAGTATTCTGAGTACTTACAAATAGAGCACGTTTCTGCACAAGTTAAGGGTGGCCTGATTAGGCCACATTACCCGAAGTGATGTCACAAACTCAAAAGAAATGAGTGGTTTCTAAAAGCTTACAAAACTGCTTTCACTGTCTGAAAGCCCCAGGCTCTGCGGGGGGTGAAGGCAAGCCTCCCTTGGGACGCAGGCTGCTTCCCTCTTGGTGGCGTTGTACGGGCCCTTCCCTGTGAGGGCACCTGCTGAGGAGAGGGCAGAGCGGGGTGGGTGGGCACAGCTCAGGAGAGCTCGTCTTTCGGCCACTGTGTGCCAGGGGGAGGTGGCCGCTTCCCTCTTGCGCTTGCTGCTCTGCTGCTCACGGCTTCCCACTGGGCAGTGGAGGGCGGGGCCTCTCTCCCCCTTGCACACCCCCGGGAGACGCGATTCTAGGAGCAGCTCCTGCCTTGGTTTTTATGAAGTTTCAGTCCTGCAGATTGAGTGTGTCCTCGAGATGTGCTCTACGGTATAGGGCTTACGGTTAACAGCACTGTATCATCCACTTCACACTTTGTGAAGACGGTAGATCTTGCGTTGAGTGTTCTTATCACCAGAATCCTCGGAATGAATTTGGAGGTGACGAATAGCTTTATGGCACACATAGTGGTGCTGACTTCCCAGTACGTATTTATCTCCAAATGCATCACGTTGTATACATTCGATAGGCCTGGATTTTTGTACATCAATCATAAGTTTTTTTCAAACCAAAAAACATTGGGAGGATTGAGTGTAAGTGTTCTGTCTCCTGTCCTCATGCGGAAGTGCAGATCTCAAGATGCAAAGGGCGTGGAGATGGATGTTTGTTGTTTACGTCCTTTACAGTTTTCTTCTACCACATACTCCCCAGTTTTCTTTCTTAAAGAATCAGCTTCATAATTTTTTTAATATTACTAAAAGATCTGCATATATATTTTCCATAACAGTCCAGAGGTTGCTGTACATTAAAAGCTTTCAACCAGGGTTAGTACCACTTTTCATGTGTAAGTGGATTTTTATTCTTTCCTGGTCCAGCATCGGGTGAAGCACAAATTTTCAGTTACAGTTGGGGGCTGGGGCGCAAAATTAGATCTCATCTGGGTTCGTCAGAGTCAGTCTTCCCCTCCACCCCCAAGAAAGAAACAGACCAGAGAAATTGGGTCAGAGACTTCTGAATTTCCTCCCTTCTGAATTTCCTCCCTTTTCCTGTCAGCACTGTGTAGATTTTCAGTGCAGGGAAAAGCAGTACGTGTCCCGCGTGGCCACGGGTACAAGGTGCCACGTGTCTTCGGTCCCCTTGCTGTCAGGGTGACTGCGGTGATCAGGTGGAGCTCCCAGCCATCTGGCATTACACCCCTTGAATGTCTGTGGCATCTGAGTATTTCCAAGTGAGAATGCTCTGTGTCCCCTGCGTGCCGGCCTTCCTCATCCTGTCTCTTTTCTGCATCTCGGTGCACCCTGACTGGGGTCCTCAGTCCTCTTACCGCCCACACCCCATCACTAGGCATCAGATTGTACCAGGTCTCACCTCACTCTTACCTCACCCCGGAGCAATCAATGGCTGCTGAAGTTTCCCAGTCACTGATAACCTTCCAGCTCTTTGTCTATCTACCACATTGCCACCAGAAAGTCCAGGAGGTTCTTTAACATTTTTTTAAATGTATGTTTATTTTTGTGTGTGTGTGAGGTGTGAGAGAGAGAGAGAGAGACAGCATGAGCAGAGGAGGGGCAGAGAGAGAGGGAGACACAGAGTCCGAAGCAGGCTCCAGGCTCTGAGCTGTCAGCACAGAGCTTGATGTGGGGCTTGAACTCACGAACGTGAGATCATGACCTGAGCTGAAGTTGGACCCTTAACCAACTGAGCCACCCAGGCACCCCAGAAAGTTCTTAAAAAAAAAAACAAAACACATAGGTCTTGTTAGTCTCCTGTTTTAAGGGTCTCTGCCAGCTCATTTTGCTCCCAGCAAGTCCACTTTCCTTAGCCAAGGACTGGGAGCCCTATACAGTGTCATCCCTCTGCCTGTGACCTTGCTTCTACTCAGCACCGGGTGTGAGCTGCATGCTCTGTCAAGCCCAGCCGTCTCTCTGGGCCCCTGTGCGTGCCCTCTGTCTGCCGGGAAAATGTCCCCTTAGTGAAATTGTCCCTGGCCATTTCCCTTCCTTGATTTTCTCTCCCGGGTGTTTTGCCAAGTGCATTAACAGCATTTATTACGGTGAATTTTAATCCCTTCGGTATACTTTGGGCCCCCCACTGAGCCCATGCTTCTGTAGGATTCCCATCTCCGGCACCAGGCAGTCTCATGTCTGCCAGCTGGCCAGCCTGGGTTCAGCGTTTCCAGTGGTCACGCTCGGAGCCAGGAGCCCAGGCCTCCCTGAACTGCCCGCTCAGCCCATGTATGCTGCACAGCTGGGCAGCCGCAGTGCAGCCTGGGCTCTGGCCCTCACCCACTTGCATGCAGCATGGTTTGCGCAACTGCATGCGAAAGCCTGCACAGTTGCCCAGATGGTCCCCGACCATGGTGAGAGCTACGGAGGACACCTTCAGGATGCAGGGAAGCCATGCATGTGAGGGACTCGGTCTGGGTGTGAGTGGGGAAGGAGTGAGGGACCGGGAAGAGAGGCTCCTGTGATCTTCCTTTCCTGCCAGCCTTTCCTGTGCCCACCAAGTCTCTGGAGCCGCAGAGCTCCAAACAGCTGTTGTCCATTGTGTGGCCACAGCACCAGCTGCAGGACACTAGAAGATGGCATAAATGTAGGGCAGGAGCGTCCCAAATAAAAATCATGAGTCCCTTTGTAGACAGTGGAGAAAGCCCAGAATTGCCAGTGAGCAACTGTTCAGGGCGAAGCCCAGCCTCTCAAACATCTCGGGCACTGTGGTTTGACCTCATTCTACCGCGCTGTTGGAGGCATTCAGAGAAATGGGGGCCATTCCTCTTCTTCCTAGACCTGCCATGATGCAGCTACCATTGGAGCTGGTCAAAGAGCCCATTCCCCACCTGCTGAGAGACACTGATTTGGGTGCCCCCACCCCTCTGCAGTGGGTTGTCACCCTCTTCTTCCATTGGTGCACTTCATGCAGACCCATAGCAGTGTGAAGTAGTCAGTCCCCAGATACACCAGAGCATCTTAAGAAAATAAGACTTGATTTGGGCCGTAGGAGTGTGCAGTTTCCATAATTTCACTACGAAATTGGGGTCTGTGTCCTTTGTCACAGCACTAAGCTCAGAAGCAGTTTGAGCGCTTTGATGGGATTGTTTAGAATTAGTCATAGAAAAATAGGGACTGTTGGCTTTTCAATGATTCCAGGGTAGATATCCACCTCATCCAGTTGGTGGGTTTCATGCGCTCTGTTTGTTTAGATCCCATAATGCTCAGGGTACAGTGCCCCTAGGAGATGAGCAGGGTAAGAAGGGCCATGCAGAGCCTGGCAGTCCAGGAAGAGAAACTCTGCGTGCTAACATTATACGGTACGGTCATAGGGTAATTAGTACATTTAGGGATATGGTATCTTCGCGAAACACAATACAGTACTTGGGGACTTGCTGCAGCGGCTCCCTTTCTCCTCTGTTGATCCGAGGTGTGGGGAGTGGATTTGAGGAGCTTTGCTTATTCACAAAGAAGAAAAGGCAGAAGGTTTTAGAGAACCTAGTGGCGCCCTGGGGGACGGGGGAGGGTGGCAGGTCACGTTGTCCTGGTACGCGGAGGGGCACCCGGCTGTGCTCCGGCTGCGACCTGCGCCCCGGTCCAGCGTGGCCGAGTGGAGGGAGCTGCAGACCGGCTCCCGGCCGGGACCAGGGGAGGGCTGCGGAGGGCTGTGTGCGGCTTGGAGCAAGACCCGGGGGGAGATGCTCACAAACGGGGCGTGTGACTGAGATTCAGGGGTCGGGTCCGAGTCCGCCCGGGAGCCAAACAGTTTTTAAAAAGGCTGAGGCTCAGGGCCTGCCGGTGGCTCATGTGGGCCGTGAGCTAGGGGAGGGTGTGCAGAGAAGCTGTGCTCTGGGGAACAAAAAGAGGGACCTGGACGGGGGCTTTGGAGGCCTAAGGTCTGTGAGAGCAGAGCGGGCCCCTTTCTCTTCTGACCCTCATCCCTTTATCTGCAAAACGGAATCACATAAAGAAAAGCATTCCTCATTTTAGTTAGTCTTTCTCTCTATATAATAGAGGTGGCCAAAACGTCACTGAAGAAAACCAGAGCCCCCTGAATGGTGTCCCCCCCGCCCCCATCTTTCCTCATCGTGCTGCTGACAGGGCCCATTGGACCTGCCCTCCTGGGTAGAGAGGACAGACAGACATCAGCCAGCGTGGCAGCAGCCACTGTGTTCGCGCAGGAGCAGGGTGGGACCAAGGTAGCCGCGCTGCTGCCCTTTCACAGCTTCTGGAATGAGGGGTGGGGTGGGGAAGGGGCAGAGGTACAGATCGCCAGTAATGAGGCGGCTAAGTTCATGGCGATAGTCACCAATACTTTACTGCGTGTTTGGGAGCTGCTAGGGGGACAGATCTTAAAAGTTCCCCT